ATAAAACATATAAAAAATATAAGTACAAAACATATAATAAACATTTATATTATATATTGTTCATCATGATTTATGCTATATACTTTTTACTTGTTTCGTCAATATATATAGTTTTTATTAATTAATTTCCTTTATTAATTGCTAATCTCTTAAATATAGAGGAAAAATATGCATAAGTACCACTAATGGCATTATATGTAATTAGTCTAGTAAATATTGGACAATTATTAAGTTTGCTAAGAGTTTTTCTGGTTGCGACATGTCAGCATGGCAGTCTTGTAAATCACACGTGAAGGTAAGATTTTTTATTTAAAATGCTTCTCAATTAATATTTAGGGGATATGTTCATAAAAAATGATCTCGTTTTGAACTGATGATTAATTGGTAATATTGTTTGCCCATCTTCAAATCCTTTTTGATGTTTGCAGCGGAAATCCAACCTTAATATCCAAGTTGGTGGCCTCCTCATTATGACACACCACCTTGATAATTTCTTAGAAAAATTCAGTATTTAAGAAATATAAAGTTGTTTGCTTAAAAAATATATATATATATATATAAAGTCATAAGATGCAATAAAGAGATATTTTCTATTGAATTAATATATATGATAAATAAGATCATGTACTATATGTTGTGTCGTCTTAATAAATTATAAACCAATTAACGTCTTCTTGGCAAAGAAGTTGCCCCGTGACACTTTGCCAGTTCATTAGTTTATTCTCGAAGTCTAATAAAGTAAAGTTAAATATTTCGTTAACTAACATATAGATTGTGATATAAAATTATAAACTTATACACAAAGAGTGTCTTGGTTCATCCATTTTATTAATATAATCATGGTGATACATGAATGAAAACTAATAAATTATATTAGCTAACCACTTCATTACTTGGTCACGCCTGATAGTACTGTACAGATGTTTCACGACATTGTTAATAGGAATCTTATTTATTTTTTATCTAAAATAAATATCGCAAATTCACAAAAAATTTATATTAGTTATGGTCTAATAAAAATCATAATTTTGTTTCTCTATATCATGTTCTTTCATTTTTCCACAAAAATCTTTGAAAATACAATCCCGAGATCTAGATCATATCATTATTGAATTTCCAGAAAATAAAATGGGGTCCTTGCTTTTTACTGTTCCTAACGACCAAGCATATATACAGGTATATGGTGTGGACACAAAAAAAATCTCTTAAAATGGACAGAAAGAACAAAAATCAGTTATGGGAAAAACAAAGAAAAAAATGTAGAAAAGCCTTTTCTCAAGCTCCTAACTTTAATTATCCTTTTTTTTTGTTTTTTTTTTTTTTGTTTTTTTTTTATAACCGTGGGATTCCAAAGGCTTTTTAGGCCCAAAGACTAATCCACGAGGCCTTGCATCCGGGTACGCTTTAATTATCCTTACACGTACGATTACATAAAAAAGAAGGATATAGTCTAGATCCATTGTACAAAATCGAATCTACATATGTTGTTATGTCTCTACACAATTATTTTCAACAAGGTCACATCTATTGATCCTCCTTGTAAATGTTACTCGGTGGAACCAAACATTTTGGACGCCAAAAAAGGGGAAACAATATGATTAAAAGACAAGTTTATTAGAAAATCCTTTACGAAAAATAAAATAAAAATGATAAGAATAATCTATGTAGAATAAGGAATAAGAAATTATTTTGACTCTATTGGAGATGTACAGATAAAAATGGGTATATAAAATACTAAAACACGATTTATAATTATTTATTTTTTCTTTAGATAAGAGGCACGATTTATAACAAATATAGTAACATATATGTCGAATGTTCTCTTCCCGTTGCACTGTAGTATTGTACTAACGTTAGACCCTGATACTTCATTCCGAAGGTGGCGCCTACTCATCGGCCAAGTAAATAAATTTAATAAAATAATTAATCAAATAACGGCGATGCACGGAAATTTCTATTATAATGGTTTATCTTATTTTATATTATTTCTTCATGGGTATACGTATCCACATACACATACAGTATATCCCAGAAAATATCGAAATGTTATGGAAATTAAATGTAAGTTTCGCTTAATTTTTGTTTTCTTCTTAAACTTAAATCGTAAGTACAAGATATCAAGTAAATTTATCCTCTTTGCAGCAATGGGTGGCTGACACGTTGGACACAGAGCAACTTAGAACATAAGTGTTTTTTTTTTTTTCATTTTTCTTTTTGAAACTGGACTTAGGGCAGAAGTTTGATTCTCATTTCTCAAAAATACTCGCTTAGGGACATCTCATTTTTCTATATAAACCAACCCATAGTGTGCATGGTTCTTCAAAATTACAAAAGCAACAAACAAACACATACACACATCAACACATAAACAACCTAAAGATGAGTTCTAAAGGAGAAGGCTCTAGTTCTACGGCGGAGAGGGAGGTGAAGAAACAAGCAGCGAGTGTGATTCCCGTTAAGAGGAAGCTGGTGAAGACTATGGCCGCTAAAGCCATTATCTCTGCCCTCACTCCATCCGGTTGTGGCCGGAACTCTGACTCTACCGGCGACGGCAAAGGTAACGGAGGGCGCGTGTACCCCGGTACTCATCGTTGATCGTATATTTTCTTGGGGTTGAAGATATATATGCCGTCGTGATCGTTTTTGGGTTTTCTTTTTTTATTTTATTTTGATCTATTTAAATGTTGGTGTTCTCGTTGTAATTATAAGCTTTTGATAATTATGCTTCTCTCTTTCTTTCTTTTTAAGGATTTAAATGTTTCTACTGTTCAGTTTCCGGTAGGGGTGACGGATGATTATGATATCCTCCTTTGTAAAAAAAACAAGTTAAGATAATTATGACGGTTAATTGTGTTTATGGTATTAGTCTTAAATATTAAAACATTCCTTTTGTTTATCGTATAAATATGTAATCATTTATAGTTTCTAATTAACATTCCAATTCAATATGCCACCGAGCTGTCTCTATAATCGAGATTTGTAAATGTTAATTTAGAAGTATCCTCTCAATTAGGTTTTGTCCGGAATGATGAGTTTATATAATGAAAGTTTGATTTTATTAATTTCCTATAATTGTTTTTGGAAACTGCCCTACAGTTGCGATAATTTTTTTTGTAATCAAGTTCCAAATTTTTTTACATTTTGAACTTATAAGAAAATAGATTTTTAAATAATTTATTTAACTTACCTCAATAAAATTAAACAAAGAGCATAGAAAATCTGCAGGTTGTCTATCGTTGGTACCAGCTAGGAAACATTTAGGCCCACGACAGCTAATATATCAAGCCTATTTGACCAGCGACATGTATATATATGTATATATGGTCGAAAGGCAGCTTGGTTAGCGCCTGCTGAATATGATCAAAATACCATGTCGTAAGACAATGTAAACATTGCATTTCGGATCTAAAGTAAAATTTAGAAGAAAAAAAACTGGAGAAGATATGTCTTCATTCCAATTAATATAAACTTACAAAAAAACTTAAATAATACGAATACCCTAAACCATGGCTGAGTTTAGTAAACCGAACCAGACTTAAAGGAGAATATATCTCTAATAGATCTTTAACATTGATATCAATATAGATTACTATACAGTTTTCGAATCTATATATAGAAGAGAAGAACAATTATTTAATTGGAGCAGGCTAATTATTTCGACATTCGGTCTTTGGTCTTCACATTAAAAAGAAAGTCATTACTTTACCGCTATTAAAAAGCATGTCTTTGACTCCACAACTGTATCCAAAATACGAATCTTCCAAATTACAATTATGATTTCCTACAAATCTTCTGTTCAACGTTCACACTCGCATCTTTGACAGCAAAATCCTTCTAATCTCTTATCTATCCACATTCCACAAAATAAATGACCTTTGGCTTAATCCTGTAATAATGTTCTTAAGTCTTAACAATCAAACGATATGTTTGGGTTAATCAAGGAAATAAACTATGAAGAAAAACAAAGAGATAGAAAAAATGAGATTACTTAAAAAGGGAAAATAAGCACAAATATAGCGACAGCCTATATGATATAGGATTATAGGAGATGCTCGCTTTTAACAATATATCCTCCAGACATCAATTGGCACAAAAGTTGATATGGTTAGATTCATTGAACAATAGCGACCAATCTAACTAAAGACGCACTTATTTTCTACAAGTTCTCGGCTATTGATCGGGACTCTCTTTTTCTAAGTTTAACTATCTTTTTAGTCAGTAAGGAGAAAAACAATCTTTTTGGTCAATAGTCAATGTCAAAAAGGATTTGAAAATATTGTTATTAATCAAGAAAGCTAGTCTTGAATATGAATTCGTGGTGAAAAATTAGATGGACTCGGTGGTTGAAACGCATAAAACATATGGGATAGATGTTTAAATGCCAAAAAAGCGAAAGCACTACAGCTAAGATTAAAAACGGGTCTAGTCACATTCACTGGACTTTTTTGTACTTGTCAGTTAGTTTCCAAACTTCACTAATTGTTGATTAATTATTAATCAGAAAAGAGTCGTGAACAAAATTGTAAACTTTTACTACAAGTTCGTTTAATTTTTTTTTGATAAAAATCTTTTGTTACAAGTTCCTTGCACCGATGGGAGAGTGAGCCTTACTTCCTAAGTTTGTGCCTTTCACTAATATACGAAAAATTGAAATACATTAATACAAGATAATTATTTATTAATGACGGGGATGCATGGAATTTTCCTAAAATAATAAATATTTTCTTTTATTTGGACTGGCGGGAGTTGATTATTAAGTTACGTATGTATATATACACATACATTCTATAAATATCCAAATAAAATGTTATGAAAATTAGCTGTAAGTTTCACTTTGTTTTTCCTCGTTAGTACTAAAACACTTAGTAGAAGTTGTTGATAACATGTATACATAAAATAAGAGACTGACACGTAGGTAGTAGTGTGAACACGGAGCAACTTAGAGCAAAAGTCTAGTAACAGTAGTCACTCTTCTCTATATATAAACCTCAGACTCTCTGCAAAATTACAAAGCCACACACAGATATACACACACATACACAAACACATACATTCTTACATATCTAATACTCTGAAGAAGATGAGCTCCGGAGAACTGAAGCCGTTCAAGAAGAAAGAAGGGAGTGTGATCCCAAAGGAGCGAGAGTTGGTGAAGACTAAAGCCATCAAAGCCATTTGCTCTTTGTTTCGTCCTTCATGTGATGGTAAACAAAGTTCTCAGCCATCCCGTGACGGTGACTGTGACTGCGATGGCAAGCGCGTGTATCCAACTCGCCCCTGATCGGTCTTTTTCATGGTGTTTAAGATATTTTAGCCGTCATGATCTTAAATGGGTTCTTCTCCTCCTCCTCTGTTTATCTGTTGTTTATAAGCTTAATTAGGCTAAAGATTCTCTGTTTTTCCTTTTTTTTTGGCTTTTTTTTTTTTACGATCTACAAGAAAGGGAGGTGATGAATGATGGATTAATATCTTTAATACTCTTGCTATGTAAACCCAAGTACTATATTTGATCATGATGCGTTGTGATTAATTATGGTACTAGTCATTAAAAGTTAAAACATACTGTTGTTATCATTTTAAGAAAAAAGCGTACTCTGTTTTTATGGTGAGTATCATGTGTTGTAGTTTCGAATATAAAATATGCAAACGTGCCTGTCTCGAAATTCAGAGTTTATGTGATAATGATTGATCTAAGAAAGAAAAAGAAAAAAAAAAAAAGAAAAGTGACGAAAAGACTGGATATATTTAACATTAAAACCAAAAAAAGAAAGTGGATTTACAAACAAAATTAAATGGATAATACTTTATTAGGTATCCATTAATCCATATAGTAATTAAGTAAAATCTAAAAAGTTAAGGGGTACTTTTGGAAAATTAAATACGGGTGCAAATTATGCATAAGACATGCGTAGGACCAAAACTTGTCCTCTATGTGGTCTTGTGGAATTGTCAGCCGGCTTATGTTTTCAATTTTCTTTAAGAGTTTGAAAATTGAAATTATTGGACGTCAAACGAAAAGAAATTATTGAAACTGTTGTGGACAATATCCGAAGAGAAAATCAATTGTGTTAAGTTTTTCCCATCCAAATAACACAAATCTACAAAATTTATAGTAATTACTTTCCCCTATAACAAATATATTTATGTGAACAAAACATCCTTACAACTTAAGCAGTGTACTATTTATGTCATGTCCTGAATATATATATATGTGAATTAAAGATTTATCTTTGAAAACGAAAGATAAAAAGAGATAGCCAAACCTGTAATTTACAAAATAGTAGAGAAACAAAACGACTCAAAAATAAGAAAAGAATCAAAACCACGAGGTGTTGAAAAAGAACGTAACATAACACAAAATGTAAAAAACCTGCGTGTCTTTTTCGATTAGGAGACATTGGGGGCCTACCATACCAAAGATCCAAAGTACAAAGGTTTTCGTCACTGGTGATGGCCACAAGTCCAGTTTCGTCGCTGCTGGTCATTGCCTCATGAATCTCCGTTTTTGATTGGACATGAAAGCATATTCATGTTTGCATACTAAAAATAGTTAAATTTTCTATAAATACAAGGATATAAACAAAAACATATACTATATCGTCAAAAATAAAAGACTCTTTTTTAGGCTCACCTTTTAGTTGCGTAGACAGATGTTTGACATAATTAAGTAACACATGAATTTAAAAGGATAAGTATATTTGAAAGTTACTCTCAGGGGCGGAGGCACCATATAGATAATGGGGTCAGCTGACCCCAACTACTTTCTAAAATTCTGTTATATGTTTTAATGTTAAAACTAATGAACCCAACTAGAATTATCAATTGACCCCATTGAACCAATCCAAAACTAATTTACTTACATAAAAAGTCCAATATTTTCAAAAATTGATTCCACTTACAAACGAAACCCAAAAGAATAATACAATCTTTAATGATTTACATGGATTAACAAATAAATACACCTAAATTATATTTCTGATAGTAAACTAAACAATAAACAAAGTCTATTGTCTCTTCCTCTCCTACTGACGAAGGAGAAAACCCCTAAATTTTTGGCCTCTTTAAATCAAGGATACTTCCTTTGCTTTTATTGTTTTCTAAAAAATTCTAATTCTTTTGGGATATGATATGTTTGTTATAAATTTTTTCTTTAAGAGTTTGTAAACTATTTTTTAAATATTTTTCTGACCCCGATTAAAAACAATTCTGCCTCCGCCACTGGTTACTCTATCGATTCGTTTGAACTTTGAACACTCTATAACCCGAGATAACACACCTATGCCTGAAAATGTGTAACTTGTGTTTCTCGAGACTTTGTTGTTTTTAGACTAACATAAATGGGTCTGGGCTTCCAAAATAAATCCAACTTTTATTGGGCTTCATATTTGAAGTTTAACGTTAACAATGTAATAATAATACTAACGGCTTCATACCCGCCAACCAAAATTCGAAAATTACTTCACTTTTCCTCTCTTCCACTTTTTCTTCCTTAATCCTTTTTAAATTTTAATATAGGATCACGCCTAGCTAAAAAGTCCACACACACATTATATACAATAAGCATCTCCATTTCCTGTTTAAACCAATCCCTTTTAATATTACTTTCTCTCCTAAAGATTTTTCAAAAAAATTCGAAATCAAAATCTAAGGAATGGGTTGTTGTATCAGCAAATGCTCTCCAAAGACGAAAGATTTCAAAGAAGCAGAAGAATCTCATGAGAAGTACTGTTATGTTCCAGAGAAGCTGTTCATGTCGCGTTGTCCAAGTCGTGTTTCTCCACTTAATCTTCCGGAGAAGAACCGGTTTAATCCTATCCCTGTCCCGGATAAGTTTATACATATCCCGGATAAACTCCTTCCTCTTTCTCCTCCTGTAAAGTTGGCATCTTTCTCTCCAATCCAACCTTCAACCACAAGCAACTCTACTCTCAGCTCATCAAGCTCCTCACTTTCGACAGCTTCTTCAGTCTCGGTTTCGAAGGAGAGATCTTTCTCCAATGATTTCTTGCGTGCTTGTTACCAAGAGAATTCACATGTTGCTCGAATTCATTCTTTAAGAGAAGCTTCTCTATCAATGAAAACCACAAAACCGGGATATCCTAGCCGGTTCGATTCTCCGGTTTTACCATACCGGTATTCAACAACACCAAACAGAGCAAATGAAGATCCGAAAAGAGGATCAAATTGTTCTAAGAGAACTCGAGAGCCATCACCAAACCATCGTGCATTGACACGACAAAAGAGTTTTCGTCAAGATCAAGAAAGAGTTATTATGTCCTCTTCATCAAATTCTTTAACCAAGGGAAAGTACTTCAAATCGCCATCTCCAAGCAGGAGATATGAGGGCAATTTCTTGAAATCTCCATCTCCAAGCAGGAGATTTGGTATGACGGCGACTGATTTGACGGTAAAATCAGTCTCTTCTTGTGTAAGGAAAGATAGTTTAGATCTGTCTGGTCGCAAGACTTGTCAGAAGAGCAACAGATCAGAGCCTCGGATTCATCGCATAAGTTCTAAGATCGACGAAAAAATTATCAGAGAAGTAATCACAAACCATAAGGAACCAGTGGTTCCAATATTCGAAGAAGTCGGCAATCCTCTGATTGATTTGGATTGCTTTATCTTTCTTTAAGGAGAAGCTTTTAATTTAATTTTGTTTGGAAGATGTGTTTGTGTGAACAGATAGTTTGTGTAATTGTTTGAGATTTTTTCCATTTTCTTTTGTTTGTTATAGGTTTGTGATGATGATCAAGTAGATCAAAACTCTTATACTTACTTTTTTTTCAAAAAAATCTACTTTTATCTGTATGCATTTGAAATAGTTTGGATTGAATACAGCTACGGGAGCTTATTATTGCCATGTTTTTTTAGTCATACTTTTTAAAGTTTCAAATCTTCAAAAATTTTAAAAGAAAAGAAATGCAATTAAAAGTAAACAAGAGAAACAGAATAACGACGATAGGCTGCGTTTTGGAACCTGGAAGTGTTGTTCATTTAAAAGGAAAACGCAGCGTTTTTGGATTTTTTGAAAGACTTATTTTCTTGGTAGACAGACAAACAATAATCTATTTTGATGTCTTATCCAAATCCAACCAATGAGCAAGCAGATATAAATTGCAATGCTACAACACTATCCCACTCTATCTTCTATTAGTGTGTTTACCAATTTTCTTTACATCGCTCGCTTTTACATTTTCTTGAATTAGCCATGGTGGCACATTCACTCGTTCCTCTCTCACCGGCTGCTCACGCCACCAGACTTTCCTCTCCATCGCCGCGGTCACTGCCGCAGGCTCCTCCCGTCGTCCTTGTAGTTCCACCAATTAATCGCAGGTGATCAAATAGATAACTGTTGGAAAAAATTATTCAAAGTCTTAGAATGTTGTTATGCTTGTTTATGATAAATAGAGTGAATCATAATTTTTTTGTACTAGATTAGATTTCTTAAGTTTTCGTCAATGATTAAAAATCCAATCCACACAGGTATTATACAAAAGCACATTGTTCATCAACCCAAAAGGCCAACACCGGCTTAATCGACCGGGTTGGTTTAAATCAAATTAATGTTTAATTTATATTATATTTGTAAGAAAATTTAATTATATTATTGGAAAACGTAAATAATTGTTAAGATTTTAATGATTTATATTTTTATAAAATTAGTTATTTTAAAAATAACTAATTTGTTTTCCAAATCCGATCAAACCGGTTGGACCGGATCAACCTCGCATTGACTCCCGGTTTGGTTTTTAGTACAATGATCGTTGTAAGATTCCTAAACAAAATCATAAATGGAAGAATCTCTATGCAGGACAATTTTGGTGGGGCTAGGGGGTGCACTATGGAGTTGGAACGCTCTGACCGCTAAGGAGGAGGCAATGGCGGCAGCAAGACGGCCGCCTCCACCACCACCTAAGGAGAAGAAAGACCCGACCGTGAGCGGAGTTCAGGCCAAGGTATTGGCGAGTAAGAAGCGCAAAGAAGAAATGAAGGCTTCCATTGCTAAACTTAGAGAGAAAGGCAAACCTGTTGTTGAAGCAAAACCATCTTCTTCTTCTTCAGAATAGTATCCAAGCAACAATTTAAACCCTTTCCATTAATTCATCTGTCTACCAAATTCATCCCTATGATGTTAATTCACTACTATATTTCAATTGACTCTTATGCTGATTTTGTGGTAGTAAATCCAAAAGCATTCTAGCTTGTCAGAAATCATCACAATTAGATCAAACAATTTTGGTAGTTATTACAAACTTTTCAAAACAATTCCATGTTGTACACTTATTTTTCCAAATCCGGCAAAACTACTAGATTTACACTTTGTATTACTCTTTTACAGTTTAGTTAAATGATCATTAGTTTAATTAAATAAAACCTTTATTTTAATTTCCAACGTAAAGATCTTTCACTTATTAGTGGGCGATGACCTAGCGCCTAGAACGTCATCTAATCGGGACCTAAACAATTTTAGGCGATTTAGACGTTTATAGCATAACACATTATAGATAAGAAAAAACATATAAAACTATCTCTTAGACAAATAAAAATGTTAAAATTATAGTTGAGAAAACCATTTTTTTATTTTCTTTTTAGCATATTTCGAAAGAAATTTTTATTTAATATTTCACAATTTATTTATAGATTTTGAATGATTCACTAATATGTTTTCTTCTATCTTTTTTACTTTGTTGCAAAAGCTTAAATAATATTTTGTAATATATTTATATAAACATATTAGAAAAATATAAAATTGTGAAAGTTTGAATATTTGAAAAAGGTATATTTTTAATTGTTAAACATTTATTTTTTACTTTAAGAGATAATTTTTTCTTGGAAATTTTATATACAGTAGTTGATATAAAGTCAATTACTAGCATATTCTGAGAAAATATTGATTTTCCTTTTTTTTGGAGATGTCATATACAGTAATTGCACAATCAGAAAACTAGCCACGCGTGAAACTCTTATTTCTTAAGTAATATTTCTAACTAGTATTTGACCCGTACTTCGTACGGGAAAATAGCTTTAAAGATTAAGATGTAAAAAATTAAACATAAAATATTTACACAAAGTAACTACGTACATGCAGCCATATATACAAATGGATCAATTTCTTCAAATTCTTTTGTTGTTGTCAGATCATCTTTCAGTATGCCGTCTTTGTTATGAACGTTTGAAATACGTTTTTGAATTATTTGTCTCTCCTTTGTCGTAATTGCTGTAGCCCGTAGTCACCACCTTGAAGAAAGAAACATATAGTTAGAATTTAGATGGATGAGAGAGATCGATGGGTTATAGAAATGGGTAGACAGTATACAAAAGTCAGCTATATTTTTTAAATCCTTACACAAATATTCAATGCAAAACAGTGTAATGCAAAATCATAATCAAGTAATTTATTACAAAACATTATAGTAGAAATATAAGTTTGCACAGTCTAATCAGATTTTAAAGCTCCATAACTCACATGCGTACTTCCTAAGTAAATTTGTAAACTACTCACATTATAAACATATATCTTTCAGTTATTCAAATCTTCTACGAAAGATTGAGATTGGAAGAATTACTCGTTTCCTTCATCAAGTTCACCTACTATCATGACTTTTCATTTTTGTATCTCCTTTATGTGGAACAAATTATCACGTTCTCCTGATGCATCCTGCTGGAATATAAAGCAAATATTCAGTAAACATTATTCCTTAACTTGAATTATATATATCTCGTTGTCACAAATAAGTCAAGCAATGCTTAATTAGATTTGTCTATTTGAATAAGATCTAAACTGAAGAAATATTGTGCTTCTAAACTACATAAGTGTAAACACAGAAATATCATATTCTAGTACCAGAATTTTAAGTTTTACAAATGAGAAATTACCATCAGTAGATAACAGCCATGTGAGTATTTCTAGATTTAGATGGGTATTGGGCCAATGCCGCAATGGTATTTGACATCTCTATATCTTTGAACTGCAATATAAGAAAATGAATCCAAGAACACTGAATCATAACCAAAACAAAATCATTGATTAAAAAAAAAAAACTAAATATAAAGTTTAATTAATCCCCTAAATTCACTTTTAAGTTCATGTTTGTGTACCTTTTCCTTCACGAACTAAGTTGCATGCAGGGACTTTTATCTTTGGGCTTGAGCTCTTATTTTTCCATTTTGTTTTGAAGAATTTAGTTGGGAAGTAGGAGTATAATCCAGTAGTGCAATGGTCTTCAACTTGAATCATGTAAAATCAGAGAAAATTTAATATGTGATAAATATAAAATGAAATTGAATACAGAGTAGTCATAAACCTGGATCAGAGTCTTTGCTAAATTATGTGAATACAACAAACGGAAATGAAACGACAAAGAAGAAGACAAACTGGCAATAGAGATGAGAAATCGAAAAGGATGAATATGAAAATTCTCAAAAAATAAAACGATGGAAAATAGAGAAAATAAATAAGAAGTTGAGTTGATTGGGGGTTAAATAATAGATCAAACGGTTTGAAATCGTGACATTCTTCACATTAAAATCCCAAAAAAAAAAAAAAAGTCGTCACATATTTCATTTTGAAATTTTAACATTAAACCAAAAAAATATATATTTCATTTTGAACGTGGTTGGTGGGTAGTTTAAGCAAATTTAGGGATCAAGGATTTTTGCAGTTTTAGAATGTATTTTTTTTTGCTTTTTTTTTTGGGTGCGAATTTTTTTTTTTTTTTTCTTACGTAATACTATTTGGATACTAACTGTTTTTAATGGATTTTTTAAACTAAAATATAGAAACAAAATCTATGTGGCAGATTTTTAGTGGGCAACTGACTTGTGCTTTATAAGATAAAGGATAAGATAAAGGATGATACGTAAAACACTTGGCACCAATGATTGATAAATTACACGTGTCGCAACACTCAATATAAAAAAAAAAATCATTCCTACTTAAAATATTGGGAGACTCACAAAAATGCCCCTTTTTCAATACCCCTTTTCAAAAATACCTCATTTGGCTGTCTATTTTTAAAAATACTCTTTTTTATGTACAAAATGACTAAATTACCCTTCTTTTAATAAAAGATATCACAAATATATAAGGAAATATAACAAAATTAGGTCCACAAAATACAAAATATTTTTGGCGGGAAAAGTGATCCCACAATTTTTCCCGCCAAAACACTTGTAAAAACTTGTAAAACCTTTAAAATACCTTGTAAACTTTTCCCGTAAAATTTTTTCCCGCCAAAAAATTTTCTCGCCAAAAATTTTTTTTTGCGGGAAAAGTGATTCTGCAATTTTTTTGGCGGGAAAAATTTACAAGGTATTTTAAAGGTTTTTTACAGGGTATTTATATGGTTTTACAATGTATTTTAAAAGGTTTTACAACGTATTGATAAGATATTTATAAGATATTATAAGATTTTACAAGCTATTTTATAAGGTTTTACAAGTTTTTTATAAGGTTTTATAAGTTATAAATACCTTATAAAACCTTATAAGTACCTTGTAAAACCTTTTAAAATACATTGTAAAACCTTACAAAACACTTGTAAATACTCCGTAAAACCTTTAAAATTTTCCCGCCAAAAAAATTTCGCCATAAAAATTGCGGAATCACTTTTTCCGCAAAAAAAAATTTTTGGCGGGAAAAATTTTTACGGGAAAATTTTACAAGGTATTTTAAAGGTTTTTACAAGTGTTTTGGCGGGAAAATTGCAGGATCACTTTTCCCGCCAAAAAATATTTTGTATTTTGTAGACCTAATTTTGTTTCAAATAAGGGTAAAATGGTCATTAAAAATTAAAAGAGGGCAAACTTAAAAATAGACTCTCAAAGAGGGCATTTTTGAAAAGGAGTATTGAAAAAGGGGCATTTTTAATAATTTCTCTAAAATATTACATTTTCAACATTAAGAATTCAGTGATATGATATCTATATCATTTAGGGGGTGTCTTCAATGATGCATTTTGAGTAATTTGAATTTTATTAAGTTTTAAGAAGATTTTGGTGAATTGTGGTCAATTATAAATTTTGTTATTAAAATTTTCTCAAATCTCACATAATACCATGTGATTTGTATTTTTGTTTTTTACTTTTTTAAACTAATAAATTCTTTGAAATCTCACCTAAAGTCACTTAAATGACTTCAAATCCACTACTTAAAATATTTCCATAACAGTAGATTTGATTGTTCATTTTAAAATCACTAATCCAATAACAATTAATTTTAGAAAACTTTTTACAATTCATTTTTGAATAATATAGGATTTGTCATTTTAATAGAAATCACTCAAAAAATTTTATTCAATAAACCCCCCTTAGATTTCAATGATATTATATCTGTAGACAAATACTTTACTTTGATTAGTTTATTTCCTTCAAGGCTTCAACTGATGGTATATATATTACTTCTCTTTGACACAATATATCTAAATTATAGTCATTGTATAAGAGTTTAGATAAAAGTGAGAAAATGTTATCAGATCTACCATTTGATTTGGTAGATGAAATACTTTCTAGGGTTCCAACAAAATTTCTCGTACGACTCCGATCTACTTGCAAACGATGGAATTCTCTATTTGACAATCATAGATTTTCCAAGAAACACTTTGGTAATGCCATCAAACAAAGTATGTTTATCTTATTCTCTGATTTGAAATTTTTTACAATTAGTTGTGAACTCCAAAAACCCGATTGTTACAACGTTAGTCGTTGTAAAATTAGTCTAAAAGAATGTATTTGCAAAGGAGAATGTAAAGTATTTGAAATTCTTCACTGCGACGGTTTACTCTTAGGCCTCACAAAATGTTTTGAACTTATTGTCTGGAACCCATGTTTAAAGCAAACAAAGTTGATTGAACCACACTTCCATAAACTACATACTCCAACTCCTGGATATGCTTTTGGGTGCGATAAAAAATACGGTGATCGTCGATACAAGATCTTATTGTTTCTAGTATCTGGATATTCCCGTAAATTTTGTAAGAAATATTTAGAGGTTGAAATATTTGATTTTACGTCTAACTCTTGGAGAGTTCTTAACGTTAAAATCGATTTTCTGCTTGTTTTTCCTACTCGTTGGGTATCCTTGGAAGGAAATTCTTATTGGATTGGTGCAGATGAAAATACGCATGAAGGTTTCATTGTGAGATTTGATTTTTCAAATGAGATGTTCGGACGTCTGTCTTTGCCTTTTTTGGCATATCCTTGTGACGAGCATCTTTCTTTGTCGGTTAAAAATGATCGAATTTCGATATTGCACCAAACGTCACATTCATATTCTATAGAAATTTGGATGACGGGATCTGTGATAGACGGACAAGAATTGTCTTGGAGCAAATTCATGAGAGTTGATGATGAAAACTTTGATATTCGGTTCATAAATCCCAATTTTTTCATTTATGATGAAGAGAATAAAATGGTTGTATTTTCTGATGAAAAAAGCAGAAATGAGTATAGAGTTTATGTTTTTGAAGAGTATAAATATGAAAAAGAAAGAAGAGATCATAGAGTTTACGTTATTGAAGAGCATAAATATACGGAAGTTTATGTTGAAGAAGTCGAAGATTATAAAGAGCCTATCATCTACAATTATGTTCCCAGTTTAGTTCATATTCGCTAGAGAAGCTATTATTACGCCTATTAGTTTATTATGCATGGATATTTGCTCATTTCCTTTATATATGTATATTTTTACTCTTTTGTGATCTCTCTCCAAAAGTCATATACTAGTTTCTCTCTTTCCTCATTTCTCAGTTTTTCGTAAATCAAATTAAAATATTGATTTGTTTTTGTGGACAAATTAGTTTATATTGTGGACCATATTTATTTATCACGAGAACATGCATTTCACAATTATTTTTTCATGTTACATTTTTGGAAAGCAATTCTTTTTAAATAGTTCACAATTAGTTGAAAGATTTGAATGATTCAGTAATAATAATATATGTTTTCAGTGGTTTTTTACTTTGTTGCAAGATAAATTGATATTGAAATTTTTTTGATATGTTTTGTCATTTTAAGTGTTTCCAATCTCTTATTTTTATTTTAAATATGCAAATATATATATGCCTCGTACCTTATGGTTTATTTGTATAAATATATTTCATTTAGTTTGATTTTAATTCTGTTTTAATTCAGTCTATTATAAAATTTAAACAGACTGCCACAAGCACAACTGGGCCTTAAATCAAAAACAAGCAAGTGTTTTTACTATAGTACCGTATACTTCGATTCTTGGCATATCGTTTCGTTAGAGTTGCGAATTCGTTTTACATAAATTGGGCCTTAAATCAAAAAGCCCACAAAAGCCATGATAAACTGATTTACTACGGAAAACAAAACTAACGCTTAGACAAAAGACATTCTGATTTTATTATATATCTATATTTATTACAAGGACAACAATCGGATAAAAAAATGTAACTGGACATGCTAAATATAAATCCATAGGAAGAGAGCAAAGGTAGAACACATACATTATATAAAAGTTCACTAATTTTATTATATTTGTCTACATAATTTGTATACACAAGCTTTTATGTTTTTCAACAGATAAGTATTTTGTGTGACATTTATCTAGAACGATAATTCATGGTGTACTTCCTACCAAAAAAAAAAAAAAAAAAAATTCATGGTGTACTTTCTTAAAATCGTAGAGTTATGTATTTATGTTTCTTCGAATCTTTTTACTACCCTAACAGATCCAACAACATTTTTGTTTTCTACAATAATGAATGGTTAAATCAAGTATGAATTAATATAATGGGAAAGCAAGTGGTTGAAATTTGAAACTAGGCACATAGAAATTAAGAAAAAAGTAACGATTGCCAAGAACATATAAATTAAGTAAGAAAAATAAAAGTAGCACATTATTCATTAATTAATTGTAACAAAGGAGTGAATGCAAGTGGAGATTGTTTGTGTCCTAACTCTATCAGATAAATAAATAATTTTATTCTGAATAAGTTTAACTAGACCATTCTAAAATATGAGCATTGGGACAATGTTTCTATAACCTTTTCCAGACTACGTACTATCTCGAAAATGTTGTATATATTATTACACTACATGCATCTAAAAGGTTGTATATTTTATATCGGAAAAGTTGTATATTGTACTGCATGCATCTACGTACTATCTCGAAAAGGTTGTAATTTACTAGCGAATAAAATTTTCGTGACTATAAAAACAGTCGATATTTTATAATAACATCAAAGATGCAGTTGTTGATTTTTTTTTAAAAAAAAACACTTTAACAACGAAAGATTATACAAGTGGTGAGTTTGTTATGCTTTGAGGTTCTTCTTTTCAGTTTCTTTGGTTTTTCAACGTTGCAGTTTTGGGAAAATACTTAAATGGGAATGTTGATTCTTGTATTTGAAAATATATTTCCATAGTTCCACCTAACCCTCGACTTAATATGCAAATTAGAGAGACGTGAACACAATGCCATTGCCGAATTTGCCTATAAAGCAAAGCGAGTAGTAGATACATCGTTGGATTACTTAAAATGCCTTGTTCATTGGTCTCATTCCTATACATTTCAAAGTGACTGCTTTTTAGTGGATCCCAGGTCTGATCTTATTGTGTCTTACATGGGTCTTGAAATTTCTCTATAAATAGAGAGCTAAAGAGCAACTACTAAACACATAACTTACACAGAGCAAACAAAAAGACTAAGAAAAATTACCAAAGATATTTACCAAACAAAATGTCTTCCTCTTCCTCTCCCTCGCCCATATCAGCGGCTCTTAATTCGCGCTCCGATGCAGCCAAGAATCTCAATGAATTGATCGCGAGGCAAGGACCAGATTTTGGTTTCGCCAAAAGCAGAATGATGAACGGCATGAACAATGAAATCAAATCGGCGTTAGGTGACGAGTACGTATCGAAGAAACTACATGATCTAAAGACGGGTTACATGATGAATGTGAGAGATTTATTCCTCCAAGCACACCACGTGGCCAGGATTATCAAAACGTCATGGAACGATGACGGAAAAGCGAAGATTTATGATCTCGTAGAAGTGGTACACCAACCAACAAACGAACGCTTCATCGCCGAGATCGACATGCATGACGAGCTTCAAAAAGTCATAAACGTTCCTGAAGACATCAAGAAGGACTTGCCCTCTACGTTTGTAGGAAACGCCGATGATCTCCGCCGCCTGGTATCGGCTGTTTCCGGCGAACAAGTTGAAGAAATTGAGGAAAGCGTTCTTGCAAAATGGCTTGCCCGTAATAACGGTATCTAAGCCCACTGGGCCTTTCGTCGTTTTAATTAATTAACCGTTGTCGTTTACTTTGCGCATGTATATACAATTCCGTCGTCGTTTAATTGTTAGACACTCTCATTAACCAGTAATAAAAGAAAAGATTTTAATCTCTCTCTCTTATCTTATATAAAGGAATTCATTCCATTTATCTCTCTCTGTGTCTCTTGAGTGTTTTTTTAAGAAATTTTATGCCGAAACCAAATAATAATCATTCAGAGAACATGAACACCAAGATCTTTGTGGGAAATTTAATATGGAGAACAGAAGCCGATCGCTTGAGAAGCTTTTTCCGGCAGTTTGGAGAGATTCTCGACGCTTATGTGGTCTATGATAAAGACTTAAAAAGATCAAAATGCTATGGATTCGTAAGCACTAAACAACACCTATCTCCTCTACTTTCAGATTAGTATTTCCTACCAATTACAAAATTTGGTCTTTCATTAACCATTTCTTTTTACAATATTACTTGTTTTTTTCTTCTTCTGGGTTTTCGATCTTTAGGTTAAGTTTAAAGATGCTGAATCTGCAGCTAAAGCTTGTGAAGATCCCTCTCCGATTATTGATGGAAGAAAAGCCAATTGCAATCTTGCTTACATTGGTCCGAAGAAGAACAATAACCAAACTGGTTTGTACTTTTATATTTTTTCCGGTTTTTGTTTTGTTACTATTTTATTTCTGTAAGAAAATTTTCAAGGTGCATGGCTTCTTTTTCTTTCTAATCCTTAACCGCATTTGTCAACAGATCAGGAGGAGGGACCATCGCAATTACAGCCAATAGTAACTCAATATTACATATCTCCGTATGCTCCACTATACTGGTAAATATGATTTTTAATATATATAAATCTTTTTTTTTGTCATCAATATATATAAATCTAGAAAATTCAAATTGACAATCGCTAAACATAGTATTTTATCCGGATGAATGAATAATTATACTTTCTTTGATATATATATTTTTTTCTTTTGGTTTTGTAATGTGCAGGTGTCCTTATTCTTCTGCTGATCAGTATCATCCTATGTTTTGTTACTATTATTATTATTATTTAGATTACAACCAGTATTATTAATTAGATTCAATTGCAAAGTACAAATATTTCTGACTTGTATCACATAAACGACAATAAGCAACCAGCCATATATGTTATAATATAGGGTAAATTTCAAGTTATGGCAGTTGACCAAGTTTTATTTTCAAGTTTTGGCAAAGTGAGAATGAGTTTTCATGTTTTGACATTTTGGCCAAAATCTGACCATTTTACCCCTACCGATGTACTGTTCACTGTACGGTTTAGTTAAGCGTACGGTTCAGTTAAGCGGTTCACTGTACGGTTCAGTTAAGAGGTTTAGTTACGTACACTGTTCCGGTTACTCAATATATTTCGCTCTTAATTGATTTTGTGCGGGAGTACAGTGACAAGTTGGGATTAAAAACATTAAAACACAATGAGACATCAGTATTTAATGCCCAAAAAGTTTAGACATGACTCATGTCACAATTAATGCAAAAGTCATCATTACTTTTTCTAATATTAGTTTTTATGCGTGAATAGTTGTAAGAGACAAACATGATCCATGAAACAAACAAATTTTTCTGAACGAATGTGTGATTCTGCATCGGTTTGATCATCTTGATTTACAAAGTTTGGAGCCAAGACAAGCATTGAACGTGTAAGTAATGAAATTGGTTAAGAAGTTTTTTGTTTTAACACACTAGGGTCTTGATTGTGTGCTAAGATCAACATTGTTTTTATATAAAAACCCAGAATATTTTTATTTCCACTTTGTTTAGTTGAAATTGCTAAATGAGGATAGATTTATGTTTATAAGTGTATAGTTGGGAATTCTTTTTGTTTTTTGTAGATATAATCATGCTTTCATTTGCATTTAATGGGGTTCTGCTGAATTTATGATGCAGGTTGGTAATGGATATTCCCGTATTTACTATGGTGGGTGAGTGGAAATGCAAAGAAGAAGAATGGAAATTTGAACCATGGGAAGGCTGGTTTGGTCGTTGTGTACGTGTTAGGCAAAACATGACGTACACGGAATTTGTACGTACATTATGCGAGGTTTTCAGTTTGAAGTGCACCGAATGCAATCTAATAATTAGTTACTGGATGCCGGGAAAGATGTCAGTGATGATAGAAAGTAAACGCCCTCCTGTATACATTGACAATCAAATGAACCTGGATACATTCTTTTTGATTCGTGGTGGGGATCCTAGTGTCACCTTGTTTGTCTCTTTCAAAGCACTCGGGAATACTGTCCCTAGGACCGATGGTGAGAGTTACCGTGTGTGTGGGAGTGCAACGACACCAAATCCCATCCTAGCGGCTTCAAATGTAGATGGAAATAATGAGGCCGTAGATGAGCATGACGACGTTGAAGATGATAAAACAGATGAGGATGAAGAAGAGGAGGAGGACAACGAAGATGGTGCTGGGTATGATGATTATCAGGGTGATGATGGATCTATGGGGGGAAGTACCCTCGATCCTACTATAGACGGTAGTGAAGGCAGTGGCGAAGATTACGATTACAACAAGTGGAACGATTTAATTATTGAAGAATATGGAATAGGGAATGTTGAGGAGGACGTCATTCTCACTCAGCAAACGGTTCAACATCCAGGGGAATTCAGTCGTCTATTGGCAGAGTGTACGTACACAAGTCATCGTGTACCTGGAGGAAATAAGTCGGTTGACCGTACACCAACGGTGACTCCAAGACGTACGTGTCAACATGGTTTGTACCAATGTACGTACACAACAGAATGTGTACAAGATACAGGCAGCGAAGGTAACACCGATACCAATATTAATGGTATAGACGATGTCTCTGGGGATGATGTTATCGACCGTGGTATTGGAGATTCCCCAAGTGGGACACTGAATGATAATCGGCTAGTTACTGCACCTGGCGGAGATAACATTTCTCATTCGGGTGACCGTACACCAACGGGGACTCCAAGACGTACGTGTCAACATGGTTTGTACCAATGTACGTACACTACAGAGTGTGTACAAGATACAGGCTGCGAAGGTAACACGGATACCAATATTAATGGTATATACGAAGTCACTATCGACCGTGGTATTGGAGCTTCCGCAAGTGGGACACTGAATGATAATCGGTTAGTTACCGCAGCTGAGGCTTACGAAGTGTATAATGACTTTTCTACATTACATGGTGGCGAGTTGGAGATTCTCGATAATGATGCTGCTCCGGTATTCGATGATTTAGCCAATTTACGAGATGATGAGACACAAGTCGAACTGAGTACGACAGGTGAGACTTTGTATGTCGGGAGTGTTTTTATGAACAGAAAAGTCATACAACAAACAATGTCTTATCTCGCAATCAAACAATGCTTTTGCTACAAGCAACGTAGGTCATGTCCTACAAGATTGGAGATGGTCTGCGTTGATGATACTTGTCCATGGTATTTGACAGCTCAAGTTGTCAAGAATTCAGAATGTTTCAAAATCACATCGTATGATACCACCCATACGTGTGACATCGACACTCGTAAGAATTATAAAAAACATGCTAGTTATAAGCTTCTCGGAGAGGTAGTGAAGAGCAGATACAGTTCTACGCAAGGGGGTCCGAGAGCTGTCGATTTACCACAGTTGCTCCTAAATGATCTCAATGTTCGGATTTCATATTCTACCGCTTGGAGAGCTAAAGAGGTTGCAGTGGAAAATGTAAGGGGGGGTGATATAAAAAGTTACAGGTTTTTGCCTACATATTTGTATCTTCTTAAATTAGCTAATCCGGGTACGATAACTCACCTACACTCTACACCTGAAGCTGATGGTACGCAGTGCTTTAAGTATGTTTTTGTATCTCTCGGGGCTTCTATAAAAGGTCTGAAGTATATGAGGAAGGTAATTGTCGTAGATGGAACGCAGCTAGTAGGACATTACAAGGGATGTCTCCTCATTGCATGTGCCCAAGACGGGAACTTCCAAATATTTCCAATAGCGTTTGGTGTTGTGGATGGTGAGACTGACGCTTCATGGGTGTGGTTCTTTGATAAATTAGCTGACATTGTTCCAGACAATGAAGATTTAATGATGTATCGA